GGGGGGGGGGTGTGAGGGATGAGTTGCGGGAAATGCGAGAGACACGGTCGAGGGCGTTTTCAACCACTGTGGAGGGGAAGTTGTGGTCCTTGAAAAACGAGGACATCTGGGATGGCCGGGAGTGGAATGCCTCATCTCGGGAGCAGATGTGGCGGAGGCGAAGGAATTGGGAATAGGGGATGGCCTTTTTGCAGGAAGGTGGATGGGAGGAGGTGCATTCTAGGTAGCTGTGGGAGTCGGTAGGCTTGAAATGGATATTGGTTTCCAGGTGGATGACAGAGATGGAGACAGAGAGGTCCAGGAAGGAGAGAGAGGTATCAGAGATGGTCCAGGTGAACTTAAGGTTGGGGTGGAAGGTGTTAGTGAAGTGGATGAACTGTTCGAGCTCCTCGTCAGAGCACGAAGCGGCGCCAATACAGTCATCCATGTAACGGAGGAAGAGGTGGCGGATAGGGCCATTGTAGCTTTGGAAGAGGGATTGTTCCACGTATCCTACAAAGCAGCAGGCATAGCTTGGGCCCATGTGGGTACCCATGGTCACCCCCTTTGTAGGAAGTGGGAGGAATTGAAGGAGAAGTTGTTAATGGTGAGGACGAGCAAGGACAGGGTGAGCTGCCAAACAAGGTGCAGTCCAAAATGTCCTGAACACTAAAATTGGTGAAAGAATACTGTGCACCACTGGCTGCAAAGATGGAATAACATTGCAACAGCACAGTTACTGTGGTTTGACTCCTCACCAAAGCCTGATCACTTACCGAACACCATAGTGTGGACACATGAAAAAAAGTCATGCATAGGTTTCTATCTGCATCCAGAAAGTCAATCCTGCACTTCGGGACCATATAATCAAAGAATCCCTACAGTTTGGAAGTAGGCCATTCAGTCCATTGAGTCTACACCGCTCTTCCGAAGAGCAACCCAACCAGATCCAACCCTCTGGCTAAACCACCGAAGCCTACACATCCCTGGGCACTATGCGTAATTTAGCATGGCCAACCCACCTAACCTGCACGTCTTTGGATTGTGGGAGGAAACTGGAGCACCTGGACGAAACCCACATAGACACAGGGAGAATGTGCAAACTCCACACAGATAATTGCCCAAGGGGAATCGAACCCTGGTCCCAGGCGCTGAGAGGCAGCAGTGAAAACCATTGAGCCACTGTGTCACCCATATCACTGTAGCAGAGCAATTATCAGATCAGTGCAAGATCTTCAATTTGAGAACTGATCTGTTCAATCATATTCAGATGTATTGCTGAAACTCATGGCCCAAAATAAACATTATCCTTGTGTCCAGGCACGACTAATAATGATTACAACTATTTCTATTACAGCAAGTCTTTTAACTTCTGCTCCTGGATAAGATATCCATTGTAGTTGATTGAGAGATTATAATTTTAATTATTTGAAGCTTCAGCCCAGAGTGTCATTGAGTTAAACTGAAATCTGACTGTTAACTCTTATCACATGCAAACGGGTTTGGTAACACAGGATTCTGCAACAGTAACAAAAGATTCAGGCAGTTGGTCAATTAGTTGAACTGTTTAAAGTATTCTCACACTTACCTCCATATAACACCGTAACGAACATGACGAGTTTCAATTGCAGCAGTAAAATGCTAACACGATTCTAAAGCTTCGATAGTTAAAAGTCCTTCAGATGATAATTGGAACATTCATTTAACTACAGCAATGCAAGACTGGGCATGTTGTACTGGACTCCCATCCTGAAGCAAGTAAATTATCAATGACCAGCTGAGGCAACATGTGCTCAATGAATAAGATAAATGTAGTATATAGTTAATTATTAACAAGCAGTGGCTCAAATATTTATTGGATACTTTTCAGAAGTAATGCAGAGTAAGAAAGGATTATTGTTGAGTGACTGCCAACTTAATCCGCTGTGCTTTTACCATGTCTTGTTAAAAGGTCATTTACAATATATTATGAGCTTGAGGAACATGCTGTTCTGTTCCTTGGCTTGGGTAGAACTCAACTTCACTTCGTTATTTATTAAAAATAAACATGATTTATTATCCATTCGTTGACCTTCTACTTTTTCCAGCTTAGGCCCACTTGTAGCATTACTGAATCAGGGTTCTCCAAGATCCATTCCAAGACTTGAATATGCAATGTCAACTGATGCTTAAGTGACATACTAAGGGAATGCTACATTTTGGATGCACTGTCTTTTAAATAAAGGGCCAGTCCACCTTTCCAATTGAGCATATTAGAGCACACAGAACTCTCCTGAAGTTTCAGTTAATCCACCCTAGGTGGGGGAGGAGTCATTCAGATTTGTATGTCTGAATATAGAGAAAAATGAATGCAGTGACTTTGGCTCCATGGTGCATGGCACTTTGGTATTTTGATGGCATGTTTTATCCAAAACAGGATGCATGTGCACACGATTCTGCTGTGTGCCATGTTGGATGCTATTTTGATAAAGCACCGAACAAGGCAATTTACCCAAATCAGAAGCATATATTAGACTATTAGCAATTTCAAGTAAGTGATCCAATGGCTAGTGCTACTCCATCCTCAGCTTATACCCACAGTAGCCAGCTGACTGCCTGAGGAAAACTAACAGCAGATAGCACGCGAAGCGTTAAAGGTTAGAACTCACCTAAATCACCCTAGCTGTCCCGTCGTGAATTCTCCAATCCTGATTCTCATTGCCAGATCCCATCAACACTAAAGCCCAGGTAACAATATTGTAGGCCCTTGTGATATGCTTTGCCGAGCTCATAGCCTTGATCATACACCTTGACTGTTCTTCCTCCAGATTCCAGTGTACTTTATCTATCTAATACTTAGCAGCATATTAGAACATGAACAGTTTACTTCACTACTACTACACCTTTTACACGACCATAAGAGACAAGGAACAAAATCCCAGGTGGTTAGCACACTGAATGCAGAGCTTGAATTGCCAGTAAAATATTTGATTCCACTGCAGTTATATCTTGCAATTTGTTTGGTGCACATACGGCTCCTTTCACGTGCAAACTGTTAGACCTTTGTAGTGCACTGAATAATTAATTTGATTTTACTCAGAAAAGCAGCCTCTCCAAATAGGCCCTCTTTTCAAAAAGATTTGCAATTATATAGCACTTTTCATAACCATCTCAAAGTGCACAACAGCCAATTAATTTCTTATTAAAGCATTGTGACTGAAATGTGTCAACCAGTATACGCTTAGCAGGGTCTCTCAAACAGCAGTAGAATAATGACCAGATAATGTATTTATGAATGTTGATTGAAGGATAAATATTGGCCAGGATACCAGGGATAACGCCCCCACTTTAAAATAGTGCCATTCTCTCAAGACGGAGCTTCAGTTTAACATTTAATCCAAAAGAGAACAACTCTGCAAAATCAAACATTGTATAGAAGGCGTGAACTTTTAGAATGCTATTCAGGATTCATAAACATGACCCTTCTGAAGAAGAGCCACTGACTCAAAATGTTAACTCTGCTTTCTCTCCACAGATGTTGTCAGACCTGCTGAGTTTCTCCAGCGATTTCCATTTTTGTTCCAGACCTTCAGTTCTTTGTTCTATTATTCATAAGCATGACATTTGGTGGGAGTGTACGTTAAATTGCTGTTATGATTACATTTGGCATATACCATTCATTCATTGACAGATATGTAGACATATATATATTCATTCAAATACAATTAACTAGGCATTTTCATGATCACTATGTTATGACCAGGTGAGAAGGGGTGGAATGGCATCCTTCTTTCACAGCTCCTCATTTGAGTGTAACATGATTCTGAATTGTAAAAGAATGTATTTGCCAATTCAATGTGTATTTTTCTGTTTAAATATAGCTTATAAAGAACTAGACAGATAGGTTTCCTTGAGTTCCAGAAGTAAGGGCTTAGATTTTAGGCCAACACCCACCAAGGTAAAAATATCAAAATCATTAAAAATATAATCACATATCCCAAATTCTGCAACTCACACACACGAACACACACACTCAAATCAAACTTACAAAAATACAAAATTCAATGTGGTGGACCTTAAATTTTGACTAAGCTGTAATAAATTTCAATAATAAAGTAAGGATAAATATAAGTTAACTGGCTATATCTGACTGTCTTGTATCCATTTCACTATCAAAAATATTTTTGTTTTCAGCCAACAGTTTAAAGGTTGCAGATGATGTTTCCCCTTATTTTGGAAATGCTGCTGTAAAACCGATGATATGGAAGTACTGGTGTTGGACTGGCGTGGGCAGGGTCAGAAATCACATGACACTAGGTTATAGTACAACAGGTTTATTTGAAAACACAAGCTTTCAGCGCATAGAACCTTCATCGGTTGAAGTGAGAAAGAAGCACACAGAACACAATTTATAATTAAAAATATCAAGGGGTCACACAACTGATGAGGATGTATTAAACAAACCCAAGTTGCTGTTAAATCGTTAATGAGTTAGAAGGTTTTAATTGATTAAATTGATTAATTGTACATAAATCCTCAAATATCTTTCAAGTCACCGCCCTGAAAGAACTAAAAGTTTTAACAGTGCAAAGAAGAAGTGACATTTTAGGTCAGATAATGCATGTTAGGTGTGAGACCTGGTTTAGAATCTATCTTTAGTTCTCCAGTATTCTCTGGATTTATTTCAGGTTTCCAGCATCCATAGTATTTTGCTTTTATTATAGGCTCACATGGTTTAATTATGTGGCTACGTTATCTGCTGTAGTTTGGTAATTAGTTCCTTGAGCAACTTGGCTAATGTCAGGAAGAAACAGAGGCAGCACTCAGCCTAAAATAAACAAACAACAGTAATAATAGGGAAAGTGTGTTCCAAGCTAACTAGAACAATGTACTGCACTGAAATCTGAATCATAAATTACCCTTTGAAATATTGAAGAAAACAAAATTCTAAGCTTAATTACTTAGAAAGCAGACATCTTTCATTTTCCTGGTGATAAACTTCAGAAGTGGTTGACAGTGCGATACATAAACACGAACCACATTTCAGCAGGAAGCTTAGAAAGTTCAATCTTAGGTTATCTCTTAAAAGAAATGGCTAAGGACTTCATTTTACCCTACAGAATACATTTTAACTCCTTTTGCTTCAGTTGTAAGGAATTAAAATGAAGATGCAAACAAAACACTACTTAGTGGTAGAGATATTAAGAACTGCCGATGCTGGAGTCAGAGATAACACAGTGTGGAGCTGGAGGAACACAGCAGGCCAGGCAACATCAGAGAAGCAGGAAAGTTGACGTTTAGGCGCTCTAGTGCATGAATCACAAATGTTAGTGTGAAGGTACAGCATGTAATCAAGAAGGTTAATGAAATGCTTGCCTTTTCATACAAGAGTATTGAACAGAAAAGGCAGGATGCTCTGGACATTCCCAAGACCACATCTTGAATACTGTGTGCAGTTTTGTTCTCCTTATTTAAGGATGGATGTAAATGCATTGGAGACAGTTTGCTGGATTGATGCCTGGAATGAATGGATTAACTTATGATGAAAAGGCTGGGCTAGACTTGTTCCACTGTGATTTATAAGAATCAGGGGTCACTGACAGAAGCACATCAACACCTGGGCGGTTTTGACAAGGTGGATGTGAAAAGATGTTTCCTCTTGTGAGCGAGTCCAAAATTAAGAGCACCCTTTTAGGGCAGAGATGAGGATTGTGTGAATTTGGATCTCTCAATATCAGAAAACAGTGGGAAGCATCACTGAATATTTTTAAGGTGGAGGGAGATAGATTCTTGTCAGACAAGGAAACGTTGGGGATTGATGGGAATGTGGAATTCGAAACACAAATGCATCAATCATGATCTTATTGAATGGTGGAGCAGTCTTGAGGGGCCAAATGACCTACTTCAGCTCCTCTTTCATATCTTGGTATGTCAGATGATTGGGGCTCCACCCAAATGCAACTTCCCTGCTCAGAGCACAGAATTAGCTCTGACCATGCTCTGGTATGATAAAGTGGACAATGGTTTTAAGTTAGGTTGACCCAACATGTTCCACCAGGAAACTCATTGAATGTAGATGATCTCTCATTCAATTATGTACCTTAGCTTGGGGTTTCTATTGTAACCCAAAGTGTTGGTGCAAGTAAAAAAAAATCCAGAAACCAGATAAACTAGAGGAACACAATGCATAATGCATAATACATGCTACATTGTAAATTGTGTTGATACTTCCCAAAAACATAATCTAATCTAACCTAATCCTGAAGATTAGCATTTTATTACTCATTGGCAGGGTCAAAGTCTAACCATGATAGATGATGGAGTTGAATAAGAAGGATGAGTCAAGGGGATTCTTTAGCATTAGACTCCAGACAGCATCTGTGAATAATTAGAGAGGCAGGTGTGATTTCCTTTCTCTCTCACACTGAAATAAAATAAAAATTTTAATTATTTAGATTTCACATTACATGTTTTTTAGTTTAATTTGTCTCAACTTTACACTTCACTTTCTGACAGTACTTCTGTTCCCAGGTTTGAGATTCTGGATGGTCTGTTTTCCAGCGCTGTGTAAACATCTGCTAATTCAGATTCCAGTTCCTTCAGTCTGTTTAGTACACAATATCTCTAAGTGGAGCATTGACAGCATGTCCCTGGCCTGTGAGAGCTTTTTCAACAGATTGTGGAAATCTTCCAAAAGTGACTCACATTTGTCCCCAGGCTCCTGAATCAATGAAACATATGAAGAAATTCTAGAACAGACACGAAGACCTGAAATTTCAGACAGCATTAAGCATTACTTGCAGAAACTCCATAGGTCCCATATTCCTTGGAACAGAACGGTAATTTGCAATGAGAAAAATTTTCAAATCACAAATTAAGCCCTGCATTGACAGAAGAAGTTGCCTTTGACAAGGTGGTAAATGCCTTTTAGGGAGCCATCTGTTTTATTCATCCTTATCTGATCAATATATTACTAGGAGTTCTAGTACTGGTGTTCCATGCCTCAGTCGTGTGCAATGGTCTAGAATTCCTTCAGTCTGATTTTCTTGTTTTAGGACTTCTTTAAAAAACTCTGATCACAGTTTTGATCACTGGATTTAACATCTATTCTTTTGTCTCAGGCCCTAGTTTCTTTTGCTGATGCCATTGATAAAGCATCCAGGAACATTTTCAAATTGTTACACAAGTTCATGTTAAAATGGATCCTCAGTGAGGGAAAAATATTTATGAAAGAGATCTCTCTTTCTCAAAGACAAGACAGTGTTTAAAAAAAGTGCATTTATTTCAGAGAAAATCATGTCGATTTGATATTTAACAGGGAATTTTGTAAACATATTAGGTAAATTAAAATATAGAATTATAAAATATTACTGTACTTTGAGACTGTCACAGTTGTTGTTACTCTGAATTGACTAGTTACTCAACACATTTAATGCAGTTGTTTGTTAGCTCGCTGAGCCGGTTGTTCTGTGGTGTGCAGATGTTTCATTACCCGTCTAGGCAACATTATCAATGTGACCTCAAATCAAAGCATTGGTGTTCTGCTTCCTTCTGGATTTATATGAGCTCTTGGTGTGATGGTCTTGTCATTTCTGGTTCTATTGTTTTAGCAGCAGTCTGTATATGGGGTCTATTTCTGTGTTTGTTAATGGAGTCCAGTGTTGAGAACCAGACTTCCAGAAATTCCCTTGCAGGTCTGGTGTTCACTTGTCCCAGTATGGTCAATTTGTCCCATTTGAACCGATGGCCCTCATCGTCTGTGTGTATTGAGACAAGTGAATATTGGTCATTTCTTTTTACTGCCAGCTGGTGTTTGTGTATCCTGGTCGTCAGCTTCCTCCCTGTTTGTCCAATGTAGTGTTAATTGCACTCGCTGTATGGTATTCTGTATATCACGTCGGTCTTGTTTACTGTCGGTATGGGGTCTTTGGTCTTTGATAACATTTGGCGCAGTGTTGCTGTAGGTTTGTGTGCAATCATGATCTTAAGCGGTTTTAGGAGTCTGGTAGTCATTTCTTATTTTTGATATTGGGAAGCGCTGGTGTCTTCTGTTGTACCGTGCTCTCTGACTGTCATTTGTTTCATAGGCATCTGTAGACGAAGCTTCTTGGGTATCCATTGTCGGTGAAAACTTTGTGTAGGCGTTCCTCTTCCATTCTACGGAGTTCTGAGGTGTTGCAGTGTGATGCTGCTCATTTAAATGGTGTCTTGATGCAGCTCTGTTGTGTATGGTGGGGTGGTTGTTATTGAAGTTCAGGATTTGGTCCGTGTGTGTGGCCTTCCTGTATACTCGTGTCTGGAATTCGCCATTAGTCAGTCTTTCTACCATTACATCTAAGAACAGGAGCTGCTTCTTGTTTTCTTCCTCTCTAGTGAAATACTTGAAGATGTTGTTGACAAGTTGGTGGGTTTCTTCAGCTTTTGTGCGTTTGATTATTACAAATGTGTTGTCACGTATCTTACCCACAGTTTGGGTTGGATTATAGGAAGGACTGTGTGTTCTGATCTCTGAGTCATGGCTTCCACAATGAGACCTGAGATGGGTGATCCCATACAGCGAGGGCAATAAACACTACATTGAACAAACAGGGAGGAAACTGACGACCAGGGTACACGAACAGCAGCTGGCAGTAAAAAGACACAACCAATATTCATTTGTCTCAATACACACAGACAATGAGGGCCATCAGTTTGACTGGGACAAAGTGACCATACTGGGACAAGTGAACACAAGACATGCAAGGGAATTTCTGGAAGCCTGGTTCTCAACACGGGACTCCATTAACAAACACATATAAACAGACCCCATATACAGACCGCTGCTAAAACAACAGAACTGGAAGTGCCAAGACCATTACACCAGAGGATCGTATAAATCCGGAAGGAGACAGAACACCAATGCTTCGATTAGAGGTTGCACTGATGATGTTGCCTTGAAGCGTAACGAAATGTCTGCACACCACAGAACAACCAGCTTGGTGAGCTAATGAACAACTGCATCCACAACCCAAGCTACAAATTTTTACTGAGACCTTGATACATTTAATTTAAAAATAACGCAGTGGGTGTACTGGCTATGAGGGGTCAAAATGACTGGATTTTGTGCATGTATTACTCAGCTGTCAGCTGCCCATTCCACAAAGAATCCTGTTGGGTCAATTCTAATCTGTGCAGATGCTCCAGGAAAGAGCAAAATTAAATACCAGGTTATACATAACATGGTGACTTCCACAGAAGCAAAGTACATTCAGGGAAAAACTGGCCAATGTTTTGTATTTATGGTTGTCTAACCTGCATCCATAACTGTCCCGAGTTTGCCTGGATTCTTAGCTCCTGCTCCAGATGTTTAAGTTGTTGGTTGGACTCTGCAATCTTGGTTGTGTAAAGAGAAAATTCCTCATTTGTTTTATCTATTTCTTCTTCCAATTCTGCAATTCTGGTCTAGCAAGTCAATGACTTAGTTTTCATGTCACAATTTTCTGATAGAAACTGTATTATGCAATGCATGGCACTGAAGAGAATCTACTGCACATAGCTAGATGTTTGCCCTGCCATGTGTATAGTTACATTTATAAAGGTCTCTTAACTTTATACTGTTTCCTAATAGTTAGATTTTCTAATTTTGATGTTATAAAAGTATTTCCCATAGCATACATTGCAAACAAAGTGGGATTCATCTTTTGTAGGATGAATTTGATTTTCTTGTTTTGTAGCTTAGCATGGTTGGGCAATGATACACTTCAAATGTGACTTTATTTTAAATGAATTTCCTCTTCCTGCCCTCAGGGCAATGAATCACACTGATGCACAATCCAACAGTGTCAGCAACTCTCGGGCATTGCGCCCAGGTGGCCAAATTCCAACAAATGGTCACTGGGTTAATACCAGAAGTTGTATTTTTGGCCAAGTTTCTTCTTCCTTAAACAAGGTGCCAGAGGGGATGTGTGGTCTTCCTGCCGTGGAACCCAATATTATTACACAGTCAGTCAAGACCTAGAGTAAAGAATTTAAGCACAGCCACTAGAAACATTATGTCTGACCTACTTGGCAAAATTCAGCCTTGGTAATACTGGATTAAAGAAACAAAATAACATAGCTCTAAATCAAAGTTCAATGTGATGAAAGGTACATTGTTTTTATATATTAATTATAACCTTTGGAATTTGAATTTCAAAATTAATGCAGGTTGATGTTAGTTTCCTCTGTGAAGTGTTTTCTTTTGAAACAATGTCAGATAAGCTTTCATGAAAGAGTGCTTAAATCCAATATTTATCAGAGAACAAGTGCTTAAAGACCCCGCTGTGTTACTGGAAAAGTGTCTATACTGTTGACAGGCAGACTAAGCATGTAAGGGCTTGGCTTTGTTTCCAGGTCAGAAGACCCGAGGATGAATAATTCTTTTTTAAACATTCAGTTCAGAAGACACCAGTGTTGCGTTTCAAAGTTAGTTTAGTTTCTCTTTTGGGAGTTCAGGGGCCAGTTATATCAGCAGAAGGTTCTTTTTTGGTGAACTTTCAAACCAGAAGTGCCTGGTTAGAAATCTGTTGGTTATTGGAACTGGGAAAGTTTAGACCCTCAGATCTGTGGAAAAGTTCACATTGGCAGATTTGGAAAGGACTCATCGAACATTCTCCACAGTTGACAGGGAAGGACCCAGAAGGAGTCAGTTGAGTAGAATTCTGAAGAGTTGAGTTATGGATTTAATTTCTCTGGACTTGAGTATAACAGATAGTGTCAGGAAATTGGTTGGAACTTTATTTTTCACTATGTTTTATATCTTGCTAATTTATCTTTGATATTTAGGTAGTTTTCTAATTGCTTTTGTATAATAAACTTCTGTTCTGTTGTTAAAGAAAATCTGCAGCCTCATGTAAATATGTCTTATCGGCTCAGCATCATTTTAACAAACTGAATTGAAATGAACATATCACCTTTTGAGCCAGGTTTCATTCAGTGATCTGACTTGTTCAGTAGTAAAATTATCTGATGTTGTAACAGTATGCTTGTGAAAAGGAGTGTGTTTGAGAGTTGAGGAGGCAACGATAAATTCTCACTGCAAGGAAGAAGCCAGATAGCTATAGAATGATAAAACAGTTAAAACCACAGAGGGAAGCCATTTGACGTGTCAAAATTGTACCTGTTATCTGCAAAAGTAATTCACCCAGTGCCACTTGCCTGCCTTTATAGGCATGTAATATCTTTTCTCCTCTGATAAATATGCAATTGTATTTTGAAAGTCATGATTGACTCCGTCTCCACCACATTCTCAGGAACACTGGCAGAAGGAAGATGCTGCTTAATTTTTTTATTAGCTAGTTTGATAATCTACTTTAACATCATTTTTGTTTGTCAGCAAGGTAAACCTTAAGTGATTGGTTTTCATGCTACTTGTGAATTCTTAATACATACAGAATGGCAACATCAATAATGGACAATGTGACATCAAACAAGCAAGCTCTTTTTCAGGATGTTTCAGAATCATTTGTACCATTACACACACTATTGATGCCACACAACAGTGACTGAAGGCAACTACAGTACCTCAATATCTTCAAGTGAAATCTAAATAAGCCTCTACTCAAATTCATACTTACAATCCATTTTCTGCAGTCGCTACCAAATAGTCATTTATAACCCAGTTTCATCATTTTAGTGTAACATTGACAATAGTTTCATGAAATGCAATTTAAATGAACATCCTCAACCTTTGGAATTTGCTACCTCAGAAAGCTGTGGGGGCCAGGTCATGGAGTATATTCAAAATTAAAGATTTAGAGAGAGCAGAAATTTCATGTTGAGACAGAGTATCAGCCATGATCACATTGAACGGTGGAGCAGGCTTGATTGGGCAAATGGCCTACTCCTGCTTTTAATTTCCATGTTTCTATGTTGAAATTATGTTCAGCCACCGCAAGATATACAGCACCAAACTTATGCTACTTCTGTACAGTCAGGTTACTTGCAACATCAGACAGCATGGTTGAGCATGCAGGAGAAATAAGATGATGGAATACCTGCTTGTTATATTCTGCAAAACCTTCATCTTTATCTTCAGAATCTAGAGTAAGAAAGTCAATTTTCTAAGATTAATCAGAGATATGATCTGTTGACAGTGTAGTTCAAGTACAGAAGCAGTTTACCCCCATCCAGGATTACCAGTTTGTTCCCACTTCTAAAACCTCTGCTTCCTGAACTACTTAGAGAAAGACATAATGGGTGAGCTTCTGAAGAAATCTTTTAGAACTGGTTGCTCCAATATGCAGTTGTAATTTCATGCCCATTTCTAATAACAGATTAATTGGAATTGCTCACGAGAAATGTAGAAAACATGTTTCAAACCCCAAGTTATTTCTAAACTGGTCTTGACACCAAATTAGCTGCCACTGCATGGAAATGAAATGAAATAATGAAACAAATAACCTGTAGAATTTGTTTGAGGCAAAAACCATTCTGAAAGAATGGAATTCACACGACAACATCATTAGCAAGCATGTTTCATGTTTCTAACAGTTTCATTCCATACTTTATGTAACCTTCTGAACCAGTGAGGTAAGATTAAATAAGAACATAGCTGACATGGTTATAACATAAAAAATGTATATGTTACATAGAAATGTTTCAATGTGCTCACAAAATACCTGTTTCAGGGTGAACAGTTGCTGCCCTTCTTCCCTCCAGTACTGAGAATTTCCTTGACTTTCCTGAAGGCTCCAGGATTTGTTGTAGCATGCTGTGCAGTTTAAACAATGTGTATTTCTTAAGTCTGGAAATTAGAAAACTGTGATAAACAGTGTGAAGGCGAAGGAAAGCAAGCTATGCAGAATGAAATTAGAAAATAAAATGCTGCCTCTGGTGTGTTGAGCTCTGGGTGAGTTGGTGTATAGTGCTGCCACCAAACTACCCAAGTCTAAACAGCCTGCTTAATAATTATCAACGGTGGAGGTTAAAATCATGGCAAGTCTTAACCAGAAGAGGCACTTGTCTTACATAACCATAGAGTAGTCTATTTTAAGTTAGCAATAGGTACAAGTTACATCGAATAGTTAGGCATAATTATGTAAGTTTGTAAGGAGTCAGGTATGTTATATCTGAACTCATCAGGATCTCATGTAATACTGCCCAATTCTCCACTAAATAATATGTGACATCTTTAGAATGGATCAAGGTTAATGCAATTTCAACATTAAATCTATACAAATCATTTTTGAATAAAACATCCTTTTACTAATGAACTTATCATAGAAAAATTTTAAATTGCTTTATTTCTCTGCTTGGCCAGAAGTGTTAACTTTTGGTATTAATATACACAGGAGGCAACATAACAGCAGCTTGTATGTATGCACCACCTGTAACATTGTAAAACATTCCAAAGGCATCGCAAGAGCAATATCAGACAAAATCTGACACAGAGCCACATTAGGAGATATTAGGACATGCAGTTGAAAGCTTGACCAAAATGTAGGTGCCAATGTGTTTTGTAGAAGGAGAGGGAGGCAGAGGTACATTTAGAAGGAAATTCCATGTCTTACATATGGGAACGTCGAGGTAAATTGACAATATTTTATATCATATTGTTTTTTGACAAGTACATGTGGTGGCTAATCACTAAACAAAAACAAATTCCACTGTCACTTGTGTGAATCTCTAGCTGACACAGTTCCATGTTTTAATTTAAATTTCAAAAGATCTCTGTGAAATGTTATTTGTTACATTGATTATTTGAAAAAGTTTAGGTGTGGGATAATCTCGAGTTAGATTTACACTCAGAATCAGTAGTTTGCCATGCTAATCCATTGCATGCCAAAGGCAACTCATTGGCATTGTTGATAAAAATTGTAACACTTGTTTTCACTATTTTTAGATGTGAGAACAGAATGATTAACTACAGCACCAAAAAATATAATCAACATTGTGTGGAAAGAACACAAACAACAATTCCATTTCAGACTGTCTCTCCCATTTCTTTAGCAACATAACATTAGGGAGAATGTATTTTGATTTAATTGTCTGTCTTATTTTCTTTTACATTCTGGACCTTCACACAAGACCATGAACAACCAATATATTTTTTAATTTTAAAATTGGTTCCAGGTATGACTCTATGTCTATGTCTAAATGATGAAAATTACTCTATGTGGAGTGCTGCTTGAAACGTTAAAACCTAGTATTTGCAAATAAATTGCTGGGCATATCCAGCTCTTTTTAAAAATATTTTATACACATCAACATATGTAGTTTTGTCAACAAGGAGCAACAGGAAACATATATGAGTGTTATACTTACACAACTTTGTTAATGAAAATAAATATATTATCGAATATTATTTAAGCACCAGATCAGTGTTGGATTATGGGCTGGACTCACATTCTGTGATGATAAACTGACCTTTGTAGAATGAGGAAGGAAAAAGTGGTGATGCCAGCTGAAACCTTAGCAACAAATCTCTGTCTCCTACTCACCCATATAGCATTGGTGTAGACATCTTCATTCATTTTTTTTTATTATTACGTCTTTTGCAAATTTGGCTAGACATGCTCTGTAAATGGGCCAATACAGAAAGGTTGGATAAGAGTGAGAGAATTTTTAAGCCTTTGCCAAGGTCTTGAGTTGGAGTTTGCCACCACTGAGAGGTCATCCTTGTTACAATATTTAAATGAGTCCCTTCACATTGTTGGATTACATTTGTTCAAAATGGACTGAATTGGCAATTTTAATATTTTTAAAGAGAAACTAAACTGCTCAATAGATTTTGCAAAGTGGCCTTTGGAATTATAAAGATATTAGCATTTGACGCTTGACTATCAGTCAATGCTTCAAAGTGGAGAGCACCATGTAATTACATTTAATATCTTGTGGGAAGATACCTACCTATCATGTAGGATTTCTTCAATAAATTTTGTTTCAGGTGGTACTTTGATGTGGATAAGATCCTCAAAAATTGACTGAACACAAGGTAGTTGTTTAGCATTGTTCCACTTTTCAGAATCCTGTAAAATGGAAACAGCACCAAAGTTCACATTCAAACAATGACTTATAAATAATAAGGTTAAGTGATGAAGTATGAAGAGGCAGCAGTTATCACACATAAGAAAACGGAAGCAATGGAACAGCTAGCTGTGAAAAGTTAATTAGTTTCAAGTGTTGGTAAAGGTGAACAATGTGCATTATTCTGTAGCAACAAGAGAGGTTTCTAATAAAAAGTACAAGTGAAAAACTTGAAAATGGGAGTGTAGTTGACATATTGCAGCTAATCACAAATGTAGTGAGAGACCACCAAGTTTTCACTGAGATAACAACTAGAATACTGCATCTAATTCTCAAGGAAGCCTTGAATGGAGAGATGGATTGCAATAGGTTACAGACAAAGGAAATATGGTAATTTTAGGTCTGAACACAAATAAGTGCTGATAATGGGTAGTGGAATCAGTTTCACTTCTTCACAGGAAAGAATGAAAAAAGATAAAGTAAAAGCCAAGAAGTTTAAATTTGAAACGAATGGATGAAATGAAAAGTTTGAGATTTATTTTCGGAATACATGTTATAAATAAAAAATCATGCAAGTATAATAGTAAGGAATATGAAAATTAACCATCAATAATGTGAAGCGGTTAATGTGGAAATTATAGATTCAATTTAAGAAAAGTATGACTTTTTATTGCAGAGATGTATGATCTATCAGATATGGTTCAGCAATCTTCAGCATTTAAAATGGAGATGCTTGAAATTGAATTGGTTGGACACCAGAGATGAGAGTCAGGATAGAAATATTGGTTCATAAAAATGCATTAAACCAAGTCATAGACGAGCAGTTTAGACATTCTTTGCTATCAACCTCAATCAGTTACTGATCATCCATAATTCACTTAGTTATCAGCTGAAGAAAAAAAAACAAGTACATTGAGCCACTGCTGTTACTGCTAAAATGAAAAGTAGGAAAGGAACTGGTATGGACTGTTTTAACGCATTGGGGATGATGACACTCAAAGTGGTCCGTTGTGGTAAAAAATGTCTAAAACAGTTATCTTTTATATTTGCATTTTTTTTACTTTATGCCAGTTATAAATTGTAAGAACAAACTAAACTAAACAAACCAACTACTTGGGCACTGTGCTTTATCATTTATAATGGAATAACAAACTAATTCTGCAAAATATGTATAATATCTTCCAACAATCAGTTAAGAATTCATAAAACTGGTAATTCTAGTGAGGTATTGAGAAATAACTTTAGAAGTAAAGACCACTCCTGGTACTTGTGACATTTGCCACTATTACCAGTATGTGACACGTGATATTAGGTTTGGGTTGTGAGATAGTTCACTACCACCAATCCTCCTTTGCCTTGAGCCTACCTAATAATTATTGGTAGAGGATTGGCCACAATAGAACATCTCGAGAACAGCTACTTTTAGATAACAAGAAGGTTTGTTGCAAGAAGTACAACTACATCTGGTCTGTCATACCAGTATCTGACAGAGTTTGTACAGAGAGACCTGTTCCCTTAAAATTTCCACCCACAGACCGTGACAGCTATAGAATGGTTGGAGCAAATGTGACAAGAACATTCATCCTTCAGAACTATCACCTTCTGCAACAACCACTCTCGATTGAAACTGAAAATTGCAAATTTAGGAGGAACTATCTAGGTATGGATTTCTTGTTTTACGGACAAACGAGAAACAAACACACAATCAAGCTTGGAGGTGTTTATTTAAACTAGTTGAGTTAGTCAGGTGTGTGAACTATAAAAATAGTGATTTGGACTTTTAGTTGTTTTGACACAGAGTCCTTTATTAGCAGAAGCCATTATCTTCTGTTGAAAATGATGACTGAACAATACTGGTAGCTGTTCTTAATAAAAATCAAGTTGGATCAAGAAATTTCTTGAGAGAAAATGACAACATTCAGTATTGTGATATAGCTGGGGTAGATTTTCACGATGTGAGAGTGTAAAGTGGGTGATAGTAAATAGCCATCTTGCAATTCCTCTCTCCTGATTTGTGCATTGTATTCATGAATGCACTGAGTTTTCACAAACTTTTACACTGATTAAAAAGGTGATTGAGTCCATTTGCAATTCTTCAGGGAGGAGCTGCTAATTAAGCTAGAACATTTTTTCTCTATTAGGGAATATCTTTAAAGTTTCTAAATAGTAAAAGTATTTGATTTTGTTAAAATGTTAGCATACACCAATTAAACTAACATACAGCTCAGTGTGGATTTTATTTTATATTCAATGATTTAAAATCACGTTTCTAAAAGATGACAAACTAAGCGCTGATTAAAAATGCTGTTATTTTATGATAAACTTATTTTAAGCTGTGGTAAGAAACTTTCTTAATACCACTCTTAAATGAGATTCTTTTATAAATATGTTTTATTATGATACTCAATTATATTCATACATGGAGGATTTTCTAATTGTTATTATGCAAATAAGTTTGGGTAGAAAATAATACAATCTGTTTCTGTTTGCACCTAAAGCAGAAATGCTACTCCAGGAAGTCTAACCGTTTCAGACCCTAATGGAACTAGCAATATTTTACTTTACCGGATTCCAATGACCATATTACTACAGGCTAGACATTCCATCATTTGTTACCAATACTGTAGTATCTTTGCTTTCTTCTATCCCATTATCAGTGGTGTTACAGCACGTTAAGAATAGAGTGGTGCCTAAGGCGGCAACACCACGCTCAAACTCCTCAGTGAAGATGGGATGACCATCATTTATTTGGATTCCTAAAGATACAGAGAGAATTTCTTAAAAATGCACATCTGCCAGTTATTTGCAAAGAATAATTTTTTATGCCAGTTTAATACTACACAAGCATGTATTCCACACTGTAACCTGCTATCATCATAATAACTATATTCAAGACAATAATACATGAATGCTTGACATGTCAACTGCTTTGCCTTCTGTGCTAGTGGCATTAACTACTTTCATTGGAGCAGAATTCATCAGGTATGTAACATACATTGATTGCTCCTTCTTTGTAGTTTTGCTGTAAGACCTTACTGGCATTGCCTTATATTACAGAGCAAGTAAGCAGACAAGTCAGTATTTTTCTCTACATTGTCAATTTTCATGCAGGATTCTATCATTATGCCTTAGATCATGTAACCAATTTAAAAAAAAAACTCTAATTTCTGCTTTCTCACTGCAATTTTCTGTATTCCCTCCATTACCCTTATGGGTTATAACCCTCCCCCTACATTGGACCATAGCGGAGTTGGATCACTCATCTTCCTTCAGATTGCACACACTTAAATTTCCGCAACCTCTGCTCCACTAACAATTCAATGGACAAAGCATTATGTCTTGCTTTATATATCCCCTTCAGTCTTCAATGAAAATTTTGTTTCTTCCAACCTGTTGAAGACACTGTGTCTTCTTGTCACTCAGTGTTGATGTATCAATACTTAGTCTTTCTCCATCTAACATTGCTGGCTTTGCTATTGAATCTGATTTCAAAAGGAACTCTTACACACCTTCCATTGCTAATGATACCTCTAAGAAGCTCAGTTTGCAATTTTATGCCAAGTAGCATATTTCTCTTTAAGAACTCGTAACTTGTTTAAAAACAAGACTGCTTGAGACTCAAATTTTATTCCCATATCTCATGAGTCACTTCTAGAATCTCTCACATAATCCTGGACAGGTTAGAAGAAAAAAACATTACAGGTTGATAAGTGATTATTTGGTTAGCTCTCCATTGAAGGTTTTTGAGGCTTTATTTCATCAATATGAACAGGGTTCCTTTTAATGTTTCTCCTGTTTGCTATAATTCAAATACAACTGCCCAAGAGCCACCCCATTTACTTCATTGTTAAATTTATAATTCATCTCAATCTCTTCTACTTGCTTGCTCTCCTAACCTCAGAACTGCAGAACTAGAGTTTCTGTCCAATCAGTTCTTCTTGCTTCAATTTTCAAGCCTTTGAAGCCCAAGCTTAACAATACTGTATCAGTACTGCCTTAGATAATTCATCATCTATTTCTTTCAACCATAAAGCAGTACTTCCCACACAAACAATCAAGTCTACACGTTTATTTGTGATTAGCCTCAAGTCTGTTCATAGGAAGTACTTTATGGTATTGGCATCTTCTTTATTTCCATTGTTATCATGCTTTTATATCATAGGTCAATGCAGTCTTAAACTTCAAAGTGAGCCTGATTTAAGATGAAAGAAATTGCCCCATGTAAAACTGCCTTTCATTTGTAATACCTTTTTCTTACTATTTTGTATATTTTTCAAATGAAACACATGGTTTTGAATATGAGTTTTAGCTCAAAGTTACACATAGAATAATGCATTATTCCTGATGAATTCCGCACCAAACAATCATTTAGTAAACACATCACATCTGTGTAAATGGTGGCTGAAATATATCTCTTGCACTTCCAATCAAGGAGACCCCCGTACAGAGCAGATCCCAAGTTTCAATCATTTTGTTTTATTTACGATTGTAATTTACTAATTATTTAAGCACTTTGAGGCCGTCACATTAACATCCAAAATAATGCTCTCATATTTGAATTGTTTTTTATATTAGTGCATAAATGCAGGCATCACTGGATAAGCCAAGATTTATTCTGAACCCTAATCACCTCTAAGAAGGAAACGGTGGGATCTCTTTTTAAACTGCTGCAGTTCAAGGTGGGGTTGAAGTAGGCACACCCAGGACAGGGGATCCAGGATTTTGACCTCGTGATAATGAAGGAATGGCTATATAGTTTCAAGTCAGGATGGTATATAACTTGGAGCAGATCCATCATTTCGTGATGTTCATGCATTTGATGCCTTTGTTTAGGTGGTACAGGTAGCACCTTGGAAGGTTCTGTTGAAGGACCCTTCGTGAGCTGCTGTAGTGCGTCTTCCAGATGGTGTGTTAGTTAGTAGCAGAGGGAGTGGAGGATTAATGTGACGGATGGGCTGCCAATCAAGCTGGTGTCAAATGTTTTCTGTGTTGTTGGAGCTGCACTCAGCCAGACAAATGGAAGTAATTCTCTTACACCCCTGACATGTGCCTTGATAATGATGGACTAGCTTTGGCAGTTAGGAGGTGAGTTACTCATTGCAGAATTCCTAACCTCTGACCCCTGCTTTGAAGCCACAGTATTTATATGGCTGGTTCTGTTCAGTATCTGGTGAAAGATAACGCCAAGTTGTTGATCGTCAGAAATTCAGTGATGGCATTAAATATTAAAGGGAGATGCATAAATTCTCTCTTGTTAGAGACAGTATTGTTTGGCACTTATGTGGCATGAATGTTACTTGCCATTTATGAGTCCAGGCATGAATGTTGTCTAGGTCTTGCCACATACAAGCACAGGCTGATTCAGCATCTGAAGTCACAAATTGTACTGAACATTATTCAATCATCAGCAAGCATTACAACCTTTGATGGAAGTAATGTCATTAACAAAGCAGATGAAGATGGTTGAACCTACAGCATTATTGTGAGGAACTTCTGTCATGATGTCCTGAGGCTGAGATGACAGATCCTCAACAACCACAACCACCTTCTTTTGTGTTCAGGATGATTCTAACCAGTGGAATATTTTCCTCCCCAAATCATAATGACTCTAATTTTGGCGAAGTTCCCTGTTGACACATTTGTTCAAATGCCATCTTGATGTTAACGACAATCACTTTCACACCTCACCTCTCGGGATCTGTTCTTTTGCCTATGTTTGGACCAAGGCTGAACAGAGTGAACTTAGTGAACCTGTAAGTAGCTTGTTGCTGAGCAAGTGCCACAAGGTAGTACTGAACTGTATCCCTTATATCACAGGTGGTGTGGTAATTGGTCAGGTTAGATTTGTATTGCCTTTTGTGGATAATTACATATCTGGGTAATTGAGTGATAGATTGATGAAAAGCTAGCAATGTCAAGTGAACACATGAATGATGCTGCATTGCTATTGATATGCAAGTCCTGTATTGTCTTCACAAATGTGAAGGAATGCTTCACTATGAAAGTGCAGGACTTGCTGAAAACTGATTGCAGGAATTCATTCAACCATTTAATGGTAATGGTAATATACTGTTACATGTATTTATGAAAATACAATAAAATGTGTACAAATTGCCATAAGCCAGCCCCAGTGCCATTTTAATTACATAAGTTATAAAAAGAAATAAATCATACAAAGTTAGGACAAATTACATTTTTTATTCTATACACTGCTTCTTAAGTTCCTGTTTCTTTATTTGGCCAGTTCATGTTTTGCAGAACCCATCATAGATAAGAGAGAGTATAAAAGGACAAAACTTTTGTGTGTTTTGAGCAACCTGTACATACATGGCCACATAGAGCAGTGAATCCTACTACAAATCTCATCCTGCCTCTCAGTGCTCACATACTGCAAATGCTCATTTGTAAGTTTGCTTTCTAGTAAGGCTGTCTGATTCTGCTGAGCAGCAGCTTCAATGAATACAGATAAACACAATATATGGCAGATGCTAGAAATCTGAAATTGCTGAAGAAACTCAGGTCTGGCAGAAGAGTTAACATTTCATGTCCATCTCTTATTCAAAACAACAATGGATATAAATTTGGATCTGTCATTGAGGGTGGCATGCATTTTTTTGGACGTAATCTCGCCTGTTAAGAATCAATATTCCAGTCTCTTTGTTGGATTTACTATATGTATGTCCATTTTAGCTTTGAGGCCTCGCTGTATCACATTTGTGTGTACTCAAAGCCACATATTAATATACAGGGCCATTGTAGACAGAAAGAATACATACATGCACTGAGCCAATTTCAACTCAACAAAGTATGTGCTAGCCATTTGCTGGCTCATTTCTTAGGTCTGCCTTGTTTGAAATATAATAAAGCCTGGCTATTAACTGTCAATCAGCATTAATGGTGGCAGTCACCATAGAAACACCTTGGCTAGTGTCCACTTGACAACCAATCAGCACATTCTTCATATGCAAGATAAATGTTGATTTCCCCCTTAAATTTGAATTCTTGCAAAATGTCCTGATTAGTGCAAGATGAAAACCTTTAGCAAAATGTCTCTTTTCTCAGCAATACTCAAGTTCTGTACTACCAAGCAATAATTAAATAGCTAAATGCCTGTTACTGGTGCACATGCAAGGCTGAATTTTGCAATTATAGCAGCGATGAAAGTCAAGACATTTGCCACTTTTGACGGTCACATTAACACCGCAACTGCTGGTATGCACACAAGTGCATGCTAGTGGTAAAAACCAGAAGCTACAGTGCAATAGCATGTTCTGAAACTGCTTCCGCTGGTCTCACCAACTGTTTTGTAAAGTGGCAGGGAACGGTGGCTCATTAATTGAATAAGTGCTGTAGCCACTACTAAAGTGGACTTCTTTGGATCTGGCATTATCAGGCACGAAGCCTGCTCAGATGGATAGATAATTGATTAGGAAGCACATAAAATGACAGCAGCACACGCTGCTGTAATAGCTGGTATTACAGAAGGTACATGCTGACATTTCAAATATTGGATTTCATTTGTTAATTGTTTGTATACACTTTTAGCAAAACCTACCAGACACCTTAGATGGACTTTACATATCTGATTCTTTTTTAAAAGAGACTGAAATGACTTTAATAATGTTATATACGTAGAAAGATTTTAAAAATTTTTATTTGACATTTTAGTTGGTCTGGGTGAAGTTTGTTGGGTGATTTGGAGACAATTTCACACTTGCACTCTATGGGAGGCCATGTTGCAGCAAGAACTTGAAATCTTACTCCAACCATTCAATCATGAGAGTACAGATTTTTCAGTCCTGTGATGAGTGGGTGAACACATCGACTTTGCAACTGACCACACAACCTTACACCACAGTTAATGAACTTCTACGATATAGCACTTAGTCTGAGGCTTGAGTACGGCTCTTAATATGGGATAGACCAAATATCCTTCCCACGGAGATACATATGACCAATTATATTGATATTTGTATAACAGTAAATTGCAGTAGCAACTACACTCACCAGCTTTAATATGTGCCATTGTGTGAAGAATGCTGACTATAAACCCTCCTGCATTGTTGAGCCAGGTTGACTTGATATACAATATCCTGTTGTTGGCATCGTAGTAAAAACTGTTCTTGTATAAAATATTCTGGCAGCGGGTCCTTACTTCAGTGGAAATGCTGTCTGCCAGTAGGACGGTAAGGGGAGAGTGACCGCAGCTACTGCACAGCAGATGGACAACGTAACACCCAAATCTGTAGATCACAAAGTGGTGTGGGGACAGGTTACCTAGATCTGCTGGAATCAGGCTTTGATTGCCCAATGGAATGGGATCCAAAGGATTTACATCGCAGCTTTCTATCATGAAATAGACATTAATGAACACAATTAAGAATTTAAACTGATTTCTGTATGAGAAAATAATTAAGGAAAACAACACATATCTTTCAATCCTAATTTTGTCCATTCCCTGGAGATTGTGCTACTGCTATCTGACCAAAATCAGTTTATTCGACATAGATAAAGAAAGGACTCCACATCTTCCCAGTCTGTATGGTTGAATTTTTCACTAGATCATGATGAGAGCCTGATAACACAGTCAACATTGTCCTAGGAGATTGGCTTTAGTTTCTTTTCTCAAATGCAGAACTCCCTCCCAATGATGGAAACAACTTTTAGTATCAGGCAAGTTTTATCTTTATTCCCATTCCAGTCCAAGGAAAGAACAACTATTTTTAAAATTAGTAGTCCTGGATTTGAGCCAGCTACCTGACTGAAAGTTGGTAGAAAGTTCAGTTAAAACAAGGTCTGGAAGTTACCAGTTCAGATTTCACTGTCTTGTTGCTTTGGGTTGATGTTAACCTTGTCTTTTCAGAAAGGTACCTGTCTGCCGAAGTATGTGCATCATGGCCTACTGACCATCTTGTGCCTGAAATTTGCAGTTCCCATCCATGGGCCTGGAAGAGCCTCTGGCCTGGTGCAGGTGGGACTGATGGAAGCCATGATCATAAGGTCCAGTTTTTAAGTGGTTAGACTTCCATGCACAAGTGCTACATATATTAAAACATGGCGCCCTGTTCTTTGACAGCTATTCTCTGGTTCTTTTTAAAGGTCAATGCCTTGACCAATCTGAGCCAACCCGCCTGATTTAAGATTTAAAATTTATACAAAGTTTAGCAATCAACTGTCTGTCATCGTTTAAACTAGTACAGTCTCCAGGGCAATGCCCAACCAATCAGCACTATCTTCCTATACAATATAAGTTTTGCTTTCCCTTTAGATAGGTATTCTTGCAAATTGTCTGATGAGTGCAGGAAGAAAAACTTTGACGAAGTATGAGAGATAGTAGGAACTGCAGATGCTGGAGAATCCGAGACAACAAGGTGCAGGGCTGGATGAACACAGCAGGCCAAGCAGCATCATAGGAGCAGAGAGGCTGACGTTTCGGGCCCAGACCCTTCATCAGAAAAGGGGGAGGGGAAGTGGGTTCTGAAATAAATAGGGAGAGAGTGGGAGGCGGATAGAAGATGGATAGTGGAGAGGATACAAACAGGTCGAAGAGGCGGGGATGGGGCCAGTAAAGGTGAGTGTAGGTGGGGAGTTAGGAAGGGGATAGGTCAGTCCAGGGAGGATGGACAGGTCAAGGGGGCGGGATGAGGTTGGTCGGTAGGAGATGGAGGTGCGGCTTGAGGTGGGAGGAAGAACAGGTTAGGGAGGCAGGGACGAGCTGGACTGGTTTTGGGA